AATGCTTTCCACATTGATCGATTGGTAGCGGCCTGCATCCAGCCCCNCCGCCACGTTCGTTGAGCGAAGAGGTACAACTTGATATGGTCTATGGATTGTTGCATCAACGCATTAGGGAGAAGGTTCCTCGTACCATGTTTTGCACATTTGGCGAATTATTAAGCGAAACCCGCCGAGTAGAGGACCTTGTAGATGAGATTCGTCCAACAGTCTCAATTAGTAGACCATCATCATCATCCACATCAGCAACACATCCTGACTTGCCTCCTTTGACGGAAAGCAAACGCCGTCCACACTGTGCGTATTGCAAGCAATACGGTCACTTGAAGGAGGATTGTCGACGGCTTGCCACACGGCAGCACTCTACCGACACTTCGGACAGGAGTCAACGACCCGGCCCTAAACCTGGGCCGTCCTCAGCGCTGACGTCGCCGCCTATTTCGTGTTTCGGGTGCGGCACTCCCGGTGTAGTGCGTTCAAAGTGTGCTAAGTGCTCAAGTTCAGTGCCTAAATCAGTGAAATCAGAGACAGTTTTTCAATCTATTGATGTTACAAAAGGTCTTGATTCACGCATGCGACCTGTAATTGACATTAAAGTGTTCGGTGAAATAGGACAAGTACTTGTAGATACAGGTGCTAAACATTCAATCGGTAGTAAAAGCCTAAGAAATCACTTAACAAATAATGGTCAATGTTTTGAAAGCATTCTAGTTGAACTAAAATTTGCCGATGGGCGTATTTGTACTAATTATGTTGATGTGGCCACGGTCAACGTTACAGTGTTAAACATAGTACTCCCAGTGAAATTTGTGATGTTGCCTGATGCAACTGAGAGTTTGCTAGGTATGAACTTTATTAAAGACATTGGCATGATACTTGACTTCAATGAGGGTACGTATTCTATTCGGAATGTACGTACAATTTTTCCGATGATATTTGAGAAAAATACAACAGATAGTAACCCTCGAGGGAAGTATCATGCCAGTCTACTCACCCCTTATGTCGGTGATTCGAATACCGCAATCGTACACGGCCGTAAGAGGGGAAGACCGCGACGCAAAGTACCGGTTGCCAAGCCATCCTCGATGTCTTCTGATGGCTTGGAGGGGGAGGATATAGCGCGCGATGTTTTACCGCGAACTGGGAGTGCTGTGATTCCCGTGACTGCCACTAGCTCGCTCCGCCGCTCGCCCCGCCTACGCACACCGCGCTCATAAACTCCGGCGCCCCTCGTCGGCCAGTCCGTCTCAGAAAGGCAAACGGTGCGCGCGTCACGAGCCGCGGGGCCGGCGCATTTTGTTTCTCACTGTTTTCTTTTGTCTTTTCTGCTTTCTAATTTGTAAAATCTACTTGTGTGTCACGTTTATAAGATTGTCTTTAGCGAATAAACCATTTAAACCTACTTATACGCCTATAATAAGCTTTTATTTTATTGATAGGAAAATCAAGTAATTCGTAATTAATAAATTTAACCTATATTTTGTTGCTGATAAGTTATAGTTAAATGACTTTGAATTTTTATTTATAACTCAATTGATTATGTCTAGCCAAATTCAAACTTGTAAATTGGGTGGATTTCAATATTTTACCAATCACTGGATTTTCCTTAATTGATTGGAGAATTTTCTACTTTTAAAACACAAGCTCCACAAAAAGGGTATGCAAGAAAACTTAAGTTAAGGGACTCTATCGTGATGCATTACTAAGGCTGGGTTGCACCAACTTACTTTAACTTTGACAAACGTCAAAAATCTATCGAAACCCATAAAAAAACCACCGGTTATCGTCAAAGTTACGGTCAAAGTTAGATGGTGCAACTCAGCCTGTTAGCAACATACGAACTGTTTCGACCCCCAAGAATCGATACGAAATCTTTTTTTATCACCCGCATTAAACACCACAGAGTTTCAAAAGCGCATTCGGAGTGCCTAATCTTGGCTGTTCCCGAACCCTCCCGATTCCTCATCCTCCCATAGAGGTTTTATTGCCTCTTGCTCTGCTTTACGCCATGACCATTGTCATGTAAATATGATTTGGAAAGAAACGCAAACTTTGGCGGGATGAATATTTCAAATTACTCGAGTTTATGTTAGGGTTGCCATATACAAATTTCCTGGATTCCTGGGTAAGTACAATATTTTGTTCAAAGCCAGGCACTCCCGGCAGGACGCACTAGATCGAACGCATAGATTGTTAGTCAGACTTTTTGAGCTGCTAACAACTACTTGTATCTTTATAGTAGCAACTTGGTTTTTTAGAATATTTAATTAAAAAATCATTACTATGGCTATATATATGTGGTTTATATGAATTAAATTAAAGTAAAGCCTTAAATTTTATTAATCTTAAAATATCTAGAAAGCATAGGTTGCTTTGTAATGAATGATGTCTATGTCTGAAGAAAACATTACGGTTGGCAACCCTAGTTTATGTCATTGTAGGCGTATGACTATACTTATGCGCTTTTTATGATCACGAGTTGAGGTGTAAAGAAAAAAGTTATTTCGTGAGTTGGCATTACTCTTGGTGACGTTACTCCAGACCAATACCTACTTAGATTTCAATATTTTTTCAAATCAAATAACTTTACCCAAATTGGTGTACAATTGTGTGACGAATTTCGTTGACGTAAATATTTGATTTAAATAAAAATTCAAGTATCTATGGAGCTAGCATGTGTTCCTGTTTAGAAAACTAGAATTGATGTAGCCTTACATTCAGACAAAAATAAATCCTATTCCGTATCCTGTAAGGACAGATTCCATTGCCTCTACGACAGAACAGGTGACATTTAGGGCCAAAAATATATCTGTGGCAATGTAAACATAATAGTGCTGTATGCAGAAATAACACCGGTCGGGCAGATGTGTCGCGGGCGGCGTGCCTCTTTTCTAGTGGTGGGACAGGGTTTGAATATCGATGGTTTGCGAAAAATGTTGATCATTGGCCCTGACAACAACTTTAATTGATAATGATTATGAGTAGCTACCTGAAATATAATTACATTGATACAGTTCTTAAATGGACAATATTGATATCACAATGTTGTCTTTTGTGGCGCTTGTACAAGAAGTGTACAGTGTAGCTCTTGACCAAACAAACAGTGACAACTTTCTTGCGCTCCAAAAGTTCGGTGCATGAAAGACAACACTTAAAACCAATGTGATAAGCAGCTGTAACTTTTCTAGTTTTAGTTTAGACTGTTTTTGTTATATTTTGCTTAAAAACAAAGTACCTATTGTTTATTTTCAACTGAATAATAATCATTGTGATAAATTCTGAATAAGGTCTTTTCAAGAACCGAGAAAAATACCTCGACATATCGACTTCGACACTATCACATCTCTTCAGCGTAATAAAATGGCGACTGTAGGCCGGCGGGCGCGAGGGGTGTTTTTAAGTCGTCTTGCCTCCATCCAAACACAAGCCAAAAATCTTTATAAATGCAAACGAGACCGCGCTATACCACACCAACGGGTGCGAGGGAGTCGGCGCTAGTGCATTCGAGTTAGCACTGCGGTCTTAGTAGATACAGCACGTTCATACTGTGGTTCGGAGTACGTACAGGAACTTCCCAACGAATTGGAGTGAAGTTGAAAAACAAATAACTAAGTATCTCATTTGAATGTATAACTTTAGTCTTTTAAAATGAAATGGGTGTTAGCACGTAAATCCGGATATTTATGTTAACGGCCTGCAAGGTGAAATGTATTCCGCGGTTAATAGGTTTTAAATTACCAAGACAGGTTTTTCTCGGGAAATATTTTGGGGTCCGTGGGGGCTAATAAACAGTATTTTTTAAGACTTATGGGCAAGGCTAGACATTACTGCAGGTGGTTAACTTTTACAGGCGTTTAAGGGTTAAACGTTGTTTGAGCGGTCTTTGTTTTAAATTACATTGCACTGTTTTCGTTGATTATACTTTGGTTAAACTAAAAGGGTACAAATGGAGGTACTTTTTGTTTAATTGCACTAAATCTTAGGTGTTTTCTTTTTCATCTTCAGGGGAAAATACTTGCTAAATTGATATTGATGAAATTTTGTTTTTGAAAAATGAAGTTTCTTGATGGAGAGTCTTACTCAAGCGGTTTCATTGTTCTTTTGTTTTGTTTTAGAAACCAATAATTTAAGTGAAGCTAATATACGAATATGAGATTGATATTATAATTCTGTAAAAAGATACACATATAAATGCAATTTATAAGTATTTGAGATATTGAGTCACAATTCAAATTCGCGGAGCTGAAGAAAATTTCAGTAGACTGTTTAATGTTGTCTCTACTTTCTCTAACTCAATAATAAATAACACTTTCAGCAAAAATATTATCATTTTCTAGACGAAAAGAAAAACATTTTCCATGATACATTTCTTAATTCATTCCACTACTGTAACTTACTGCCAACCTTGACCTTCTGTGCTCGACTACATTTTACTCCAGAACCTCTCGGGGAACTAATAATTTCAATCTAGAAGTCCCAGGAGGTACCCTGAGCATCAATATTTATGACAGTAACGAGGTAGGTACTCACCTGGAGGACGAATAATTTTCCTCTCTTAGTAATAGGTTGTAATATTAAATATTCAAGTATTTTTATAAAATCGCAGGCCTTTGGGACGTGGCTATAATGGAATGTTACGTTCGTGCTTAGAATGGCATCAATTGAGATGAATCTAGATAATATACTAATTTAAGATCTTAACTATGTGAATTATTTGATAGCTATGCTCTTACCTATTTAGTTTTGATTTGACTCAATTACTACCAATTAGATTGTTTTTAGGGTTTCTATATTTTAACACGATTGCTGCCATGTTATGTGCAAGAAAATTTGGACAAGAATAAATTGTTCAATATTTTTTTATGTTAACCTTGCATAGAGTAGAGGAGCGTTAATCAAGACTGTGTGGCTCGAGTGCTTTGCTTGGTATTAAAACAATAAATAACAGGACTTAAATTGTCACATTTTTATAATAAAAAAATTTGTAAAAAGTCACTCACCTGCCGCCGACGAGCAGATAGTTTCCATCTCTTAATAATAATCTGAAGTAGTCTGTGTGTGTTTCGTTCCCCAAAAACTTGTGCGTGTCGTCCACTCCTGTAACAACAAACAATACTTTAGAATTCAGTCAAACATAAAATTTTTAAATCAGCATTAACATTAAAAAACAATTAAATTATGCTGATTTTATTTATTTGTTTTCAACGTCATCATAGTCATCGATCAAAGTCAACGTCAAAAATATAAAAATATATAATTATAGTATTTCACTACTTAGGTGACTACAATTTATAAATCTATATTTTTATTTTATTTCAGATTTTCAGTACAATATTAGCGCAGCAAGACGGCGATGACGTGTTAATTTTTTATAATAATTTTTAATACGGTAAAATAAGTAAGTAGTTGTGTTTAGGGAGAAATAAGAATTCTTGTAATCTAGAACTAAACTAAGCATAATAATATCTGAATATGAATGGAGTTTGAAGGTACATTGAAGTAAAAAAAGTCTATTTGTTTGGAAAATACATTGGGGTATTCTTGATAGAGGGTCCTCAGCCATTGTTCATATTTATTTAGGTTTCAGCAACTCGATAATTGAGAGATATAGTTTTCTAATATCATTATTCTCTTTTTAGCTTTTTGTTTACAAATAGTAAGTTTTTTCTAAACTAGATCGTGTTTAGAATTGAGTTATACTTGACAAACGAAAAGGTTAATAAAGGTAAGTTTAGAAATCTTCGTAGACATTATGACAATTGTTTTAAAAACGATACGCGTTTTTGTAAAAACGCGTTAAAAATGGCAAATATTATTCAGAAATGTTTGTGTTTTCCCACCTCACTTCGTAAAGTACGAGTAGGTAAATTAAAAGAGCTGTGTACCGATTCCTTCAATTGACCCTCAAAAGGGGAAGGCTTAAACTTCTGTCTAAATGAGGTCTGAAATACGGGTTTAGCCCTCATTAAATCCCTATTGTGAGTTAGTCTTTTGACATTTGACTCCTATTTTTCCCGCCGAATAAATGTACACTTTACACCCTTGAACCAAGGTGCCTTTTCGCCTGTGAAACCGAACGCTTTGTGATAAGATAACAACGTTTTTGCTTTGGAATCGCGTGTTTTATTTGAGGACGACTCTATTTCAATTGTTAAGCCTTTGTATCGAGGAATTAGAATACTTACTTTCCTGGAAGTTGGAGGTTTGCGAGAGTTGTTCTTTATAAAGTACTTAGCGTTAGCTATTCTAGTCTAGCAAAATATCTATTTTGCTAGCCCATTTTTCTCAGAGATTTTTTGACGTAGGAAAAGAAAGCCTAGTTTTTCAGTAGACGGTTACAAATGAAGATAAAGATGATCTTCGTCCATGTTAAAATGATATTTAAAAAGTATTTCGTTAATACCTATTTTATCAGATCGGGATCCTCCACCAACACCTTTTGTAAGTTTCTGATTTTTATGTCTTATTTACGGGTCGTTTCTTATGCAAAAGAGTTAGCTGATGTACAGACAACAGCACATTAAGCTAACCACTGAGGCATCTTAATGGCTGTCATTTTAAACTGAAATGTACAGTCTGATGTGCTTTTGCATTGTCAGCTAAAGCTAAAGTCTTAAACACACTATATACTTTTTGCCTCGCTCGCTAATGGCACGTCTAGACATGCGGACTGGTTGTAATCTAATTGTGACGTCTCATGTAAAGACGCTAGCACATCAAGCTTAACACTGCGGGATCTTACGCAGTTGTAATAGAAGCTACTTTGCAACAAAAATGTACAGTCTGTACTTGCTGTTTTCTCGTAGTTTTGTTTTGCATTAGGAGAATGTACGCTAAGTTATTTCACAAAATTGAATCGAATTGGTTAGTCCTTCAAAGACGTTGTAATATCAAACACAAGTAAGAGATATTTTAAGTTATTGTTTTTGTTTTTCATTCATAAATTATTCTTAAGTTAAATACCATTTTGAGTTAGTACTCAAAATCTTATATGGTTACTTAGTTAATAAAGGGAGAAATTCATATTCAAAGACCCCTTCCTCTCTCTGACCTAAGCTCATTCGTCCATTTGCGACGACAGTGTGACATCTTCAATTAGATTAACACAGACGAAGTCACGTTGTCGTCGCAAATGGACTATATGCTGTGCTTCAGAGGGTCCATAATTGCTCCTACATGGAGCTTTCATATCAGGTAAAGCAATAAATGAGTGATTACTAAGTACAGTTCCTACATTCCTTACAAACTTCAGAGCGCACTTTATAATAAACTTATGTTCAAATATAGTAGAATTTGCAGTCATATCTAAAATATCCCAACATGATGACGCCCTTAAATCAAAATAATCAAATAAAGCAATTCCAACGTCCACGGATGCATATAAATGTCTGATAAAGAACATTTCGCATGATCAAAGGGCTCGGTTATGCATGAAACAATATTCGTAAAACCTACAAAGTTTCCTGTTTGGAAATATGTGAAAAAAGTCCAGAATATAAAGGCCACAGTTTATTTAACGATTCCGTATGTTTTTAACCGACTTCATTTACATACTTTATAAAGGACAAAAAAGTGATAAAAATGTACTCTATAAAGGACAAAAGTGGCAGTAATTCTGTGTAGTTTAAATTAAATTAAATCAACAAAACCCAGATAAGGAGTTTAAGTGACAACTATTTTCTTAAAATCCTAAGCTAAGCTAAATATTTGCAACCAATTTGAGATAAGAATAATTCTGCAACCTCAACGTGACTACACTGATGTTTGTAGAATACCTAAATATCTAAAGAGAAAGTGTATTTCAGGTTCAGAAGAAGAAAGAAACATCGGACTAGCTTGATAACTGGTCCGATGTTTCTTTCTAAATAGTGGTTGTTTTGACTTTAAAATTGTTATCAACCTACATTATCCATTATAATTACTAGTTTAAAGAAATTTAAAAATATTAAGTTCAAAGAATACTATTTTCCAAAGACTTAGTCTGAAATGAACATTTTATTATTGAAACTAGCGTCGTATAAAGGTAAAATGGAGATAAGGAGTTATTTATACGTTCTGGGACATCCTGTATATCGATGGGTGTCATCACAGCATAATAATAAAAGGCTCAAGTACTCGATAAGGGCCGGAGGACCGTGGACCCACGTCGTTGAGAATAAGTCGACAAGTCAAAGTGGGAGGCGTGTAGATAAAAATAAGTAACAAAGCCTTCTTACGTCATATATAGTTCAGTTTAAATACTATACTTTGTATGTAAGTAAAGTAAGTAACGTGTGCAAAGTAATTTGCTATTCGTAGCATTTGTTTAGTGCTGCAACAAGTAGGGCGCCAAGTTTTTCCCGCAGGTTAAATACTTGCAATTTACTATTTTATTTTTTGATTGTGTGATGCATTGTAGGTAATTCAATAAAGAGTTAAGTTAAAAACAGTCTTCAAGTGATTTGTGTTTCACAAGACAGAAAAGTGGCTTGTAAGAGATTTTACGCTCACTTTTCTGAATAAAAAAACGTATTTAAAACTTGGTTCAAACTTAAGTATAGGTTCAAGTTAGTAATTTATACTTGAGAATCGTTTCCAAATAGCACCATAAAATAAATTAAACTTGTTTAAGTTGCCCCAACCAGGCATCAAACCAAACCACAACTGCCACAACCCAACTGACCTGCAACCGCACAAAGCATCGCATAACAAAAGAAATGAAACAAATAAAATATGGACAATAAAGTTAAGTGGGGCCCCCTAATCGAGCTCGGTGGGTATTCAAAAACTAATTACCGTGACGTCATTAAAATGTATGCTACGATCCGCCGCAAATTAACGGGGGTAGGAGGGTTATTTTTTAAATTGGCACACGGATTTTATAACAAAGAGGAATTATACCTACCGTTTAATATTTATGTAAGACCATGTATTTACCGTAAAGCATGATATATGGTTTTAACACATTGCGGTCCGCAGTGAAAAGGTCAAATTCATTCAAAAACACAAAACTAAAATGATGAGTGCGTTTTATTTATTTTTTGTCGTTTAAAGATGGATGTAGACAGATTTATTAACACAAAAAAAACGTTAAAATAAGTTTGAAAAATTGGGAGTTTAATAAAAAATAAGTCTATTTCAGACGGTTTAAAATTTGCTCCTTATTGACATGCCACAGCTCATAACTTTAATACCACCCTCGACTAATCTAAACTCACACATGAAACACCATGTCAATTGCCATGCAGTGCGCAGTGCACACGGTCCCAGCGGGGTCGTTCGGTCAGCGGGGCAGTGTGCACCCCGCTTTACAATTACATAAATCTACCAAAAGGCTAATTAAAACGAGAATGTGTATAGCATGTTTTATAAAACATTCGAGTTTTTAATTAAAAGGTCACGCTGATTAATGGCATGCCGAAAATTAAAAAGTTTTTATTTATTAAAGCGCAATATGTTATGTAAGAATCTAGATTTTAGTAATTAATTGGCATTGTTTGAAGCCTATTAAGTAAGATAGGTATACATAAATAAGTACGCTATAGATGTTAATCTGCTAATAAGCCTGAATTCAGTTGCCCAAGTCTTATTTAATTAAGGACTTAAAACAAATAATAGAACTGATTGCAAAACTAAGTATGAACGAGTTGAATAAGTCTCTACTTACCATGCTATTTTAAATTGAATATCATTTCATTGCTTGGCTGCAAAACATGCAAGTTAAAATATTTTCAGCACGTAAATCTCTTCGAAGTACGGACGAAGGCACATCAAGCTAAATATTGTAACATCTTATGTGATTGTGATAGGTGCGTTTTTTCAACAAAAATGCGTACCCTGATGTGCTCGACTGTACCATCCCCAACACTACTGGATGCCAGCAAAATGGCGCCCGTACACGACCGACCTTGTATTATTCGACCGTACATTTTCAGATGCATGTTGAGCAAAATGTATTTTGTTGTTGATGAATTTGAGAAATCTCCACATTACTTGTTGGATTTAAATTTATGGAACGTACGATTTATTTATGGTTATCATGATTAACTGTTTTTATTGCTGTAGATTATTGGAAAATGTCACCAAATCACATAAATTACATAATGAAATTGGAAATT